GAGAAGAAGCGAGAACGGGCGGCCCCGCCCTCCCTCCTGCCGCCTGGGACGTGCGCGCTCGCCCCGACCTCACCTTGTTGGAGGTGGAGGACGGGCATGACAGCGCTCAGGGGTGGTGGAGTCGGGCTGACCTCGGCTCCAGCCTGGGTCCTGTGGGCCTGCCCCTCGCGTGGCCTCAGCTTTTCCTCTGTAAAATGGGGTTGCTGTGAGTACGAAAGAGGTCGAGTCTGTAGGCAGATCTAGGACCCTCTGTCAGGCCTCCCTCTTCTCGGTTTGCTAAGATCTTAAACAGGGGCACACAGGCCAGGAGAGACCCCAGAGGGCCGAGAGACAGGAAGGGTGGAGGGTGAAGTCCCTCTGGTGGGCAGGAGTCCTCCCAGGGCTGTGTGGCCTGAGCAGGTCAGCCACCCTCTTCTGGGTGTGGGTGACTGCATCCATAAGAGTGGACCTGATGAGCTGAGGACCCTTACCACCCCCTCCTTAACCCCCATAACCCCCCTACTCGAGACTCCATCTGTGCCTAAACAAGTGGCCTCCTACCACCCACATCTCCTACCACAGATAGTCAAAGAGGCTTTTCCATGATGAAAATCTGTCACCCCCCTGTTTAAGATCCTCCCATGGCCCCCCAAGCTCCTCACCATAACTCCCAGGGCAAGGCAGTCCTTTGAGACTCAAAATGTGGCCCAAGGACCAGCATCATTGCTATCACCTACTGGGAATGCAGAATCTCAGGCCCCACACCAGACCTGCTGGGGTGAATCAGGATCTGCGGTTAAACAGGATCCCCAGGTGATCCGTGCGCACATGAAAGTTTTCGAGGCACTGATCTAAACCTCGCCGTGAGGGGAGGCGCTGTTCTTTTTTTTTTTTCCTTTTTGTCTTTTTTCGTGACCAGCAACGGATCGCAACCCTCAGTGTCGTGCCCGTACCGGACCGGGACCGGCCACGGGATCGCAACCCTCGGTGTTGCGCCCGCACCTCGCTCAGCCAGTGAGCGGCAGGTCTGTATGTGGGATCCGAACCCTCGGCGGCAGCGCCGCCGCGCTCTCAAGCGGCGCACTGTAGCAGTGCGCCACCAGGCCGGCCCGGAGGCGCTGTTCTTACTCTCATTTCATACGTAGGGAAACAAGCACAGAGAGGTTAAGTAATCTGCTTAAGTCACACAGACACTATGTAGTCCTGGAGCCTGGATTCCAACACACAGTCTGACTCAGGGTTCATGCAATTAAGTCATTACATTCCACTGTGGGTTGCCATGACAGGTGATGAGCTCCCTGTCATGAAAGGTGGGTGAGCAGCAGGCGATTTGTCAGGGATTCAGCAGCAGGGATTCCTGCCCTGGAGGAAGGTTGTAATACAATAGCCACGAAGTATTGACATTCTCCACGCCAGGCCTGGTCAGACATGTTCCTCAGGTTCTATCCGTTTAGCCTCAACAGGTACCCTATAAAGCAGGCTTTAGAGCCTCACTTTGCAGGTGATGGACCTTGAGGCCCAGGAAGGTGAGGTGCAGGGAGCAAGTCCCTCTGAGAGGAGGAGCCAGGCACTCGTCTCTGGGCTGTGGCAGGTTCTGAAAGAGCCTTTCTGTTCCACACTCCCCACGGCCCCCCCAACCTGCCCAGATGCCTCCCCTCCAGCCGGAGCCCAGAGAAGGCGGTGGCTATTTAAATCCCTCAGGTGTGGCTGTCTTTCTCTCTGCCCAACCAGCTGGCATTTCCTTCTCAGCGCCCACCTCCTCCCTAAGCCAGGGAAAAGCACGTGCATTTGCCATTTGGTGAAACATCTGTCCTCCTGGGAAGCAGCCCCAACTGTTGGGGCGGGGGCTGGAACGAGGTTGAAATCCTCCCTTTCCCTTTATTTCTCCCAGGAGACCACAGGGGAACTGGCCAAGGCCAGGGGACATCTGAGAAGTGATCACCATGGCAGTGGAGGGGAAAGAACCCAGGCTGGATGGCCCTGGGGCATAGACCTTGTCCTGTGCCTGCCACTGTGGCCTTGAGCCTGCCCTGTCCCCTCTCTGGGCCTCAACTTTCCCATCCGTTAAATGGAAATAATGAAGATACAAGATTTGCTGACTGCTTCTCTGGTGCTCCGTCTATCTTGTCTTCCTGATCTGTCAATGAAACTGATACTATGTCCTCATTTTACAGATGAGGAAATTGAGGCTCCCATTTGCCTCTTGCTCCCCCAGGTCACATAGACCTCATCGCCCCAAAATTCTGCCACTCTCTTCTTAGTAACTAACCCTGCCTCTTTCATTCCCACCCCATCTCCGATGAGGAGCATTTTTCAAAGCAACCGTAGAGAAAAGCGGGAATCCCCTACTCATTTAAAACACTTGGCGCCAGCCCATGTCAGCATTCCAGCCACCAGCACCACCATTCACTGTCCCTGAAGTGGTGCATCTGGGCAAGTCCCTCACGCCTATGAGCCTCAATTTCCTGACACCCAAAAATATGCCTGCTGTAGGAATGCCACCGAGGGGAAGCCAAGAGGAAAACTTCCTTCAGCTCCAAGGGCGAGGACTGTTTTCTTCTCATTAGCAAAGCAAATTGTATGTTCAAAGATTTATGGAAGAGAGGATGGGGGAGTTGCTCAGTTATAGGGAAAAAAAGTGTATATATCAATTTTTTCCCTTGCTGGCCCTAGCCTTTTGTTACATTTTGTTACAGTGGTCCTGCCACTATGGAATATCCTGCAAACTGCCTCAAATCCTGTGTGAAAGGAAATAGGGGTGTAAAGGGAGTATCACGATCCTCCGGACACGCCACCGCTTAATTGGCCCCTCTCGCCAGGCAGGGCCCTGGATGGAAGGGGGAGCCAGGGCCCGGGCTCGCGGGACTCCCTGGAGGTCCCCAAAGGCCACGAAGGAGTTCCTTGGCCTCGGCCAGTGGACGCTGCTTCCTTGGAAAGAATGAACGTTGTCAGGCAGCCCCGAGGTCCCGGCCGAGAGGCGCGGACGGGCCGGTCCCCTAACCGCGCCGGGTGGGCTGGGGGCCGCCTCTCTCTGCCCGCGTTCCGCCCCAGGGGCTTGGTGGGCTCAGGAAGCTCCTTCCCAGCTCAGTATCTTTTGAGCGACACACAGGGCAGGGCCAGCGCGGCCGCATTTTACAGAGCGAGAAGCCAAGGTTCTAAAATCTCTCTTCCAGTTTTGGTTCCGAACCCATTTACTGGACACCAGCGTGTGCCGGGCATCCTGCGGGTGGGACCAGGCGCGGGCTGCTGGAGCGCTCGGCCGCTGCGGCAGGGGGCGCCCGGGCTCGGGCTGGACGTGGCGCCCGGGAGACAGAATCGCTGTGCGTTGAGAGGAGCGGCGAGGGAGGACGAGATAGGAAGGCTTCAGGGAAGCGATGGCCTGGTGGGTTTTGAAGGGTGAGCAGGAGCTTGGTTCAAGGGCAACACCTGGGGCACGAGAGGAGAGTCCTAAGCAGAAGGAGCATGCACAAGGAGCAGAGCTATGACATGGCCCCCCTCCCAGAGCATTTCATGTGCACCGCTCTTGAAAAGAGGCCAACGAAGGAAGAAAGAGGTCATTGTCAAGGTTAGAAAGATGCGTTCGAGCCTCGAGCTCCATCGCCTAGGCGCTGTCCAAACTGAAACAATTTATTTAATCTCGGAGTCATAGTTACACGTCGGGGTGATCTTGCAGGGCTACGTATCTAAAGCACTTTGCAAGGAATAAACCACACGACAAATGGCAGTTCCTCGCCCTTTACAGGAAACCGAGGCCCAAAGAGGGCCCCGCAAAGCCGAGCGCCCGCCTCTGCAGAAGGCGATCCCTCCCTCGCCAGTTTCTCCGGGAGGCGAAGGACTCCTGGGGCGCTGGAAGTGCTCTGTACCTTGATCCGGCCGGTGGTGACACGGATCTTATATATGTATTAAAAATTCATCGATTCGGATCCCCATACCGGCCAGCCACAAAAAAATAAATAAATAAAAAATAAAAATCACCGATCTGCACTCTTAAGACGTATGCATTAGTCTTGGTAAGTTACACCTCAATTTTTTAAAAAGGAAAAAAGGAAAAACGTAATAACCCGGCCCACAAGGCCCCCTCCGCCCGCCGCCGGCGACAGGTGTCCTTCGCGGACCCCGACGCGGCTCCCCGCGAGCGCCGCGCAGGCCCAGCGGCCGGCGCCTGAGTCGTGCGCCGCGCGCCCGGCCCCGCGGGGTTCCCACGGCAACCGCTCGCCGCTCGCCGCGTCTCCAGAGTGACGAGGCGCGAGCGAGGACCCGGAGCCCGGATTAGTGACCTGGAGTCAGGAGCGAGGCTGCAGAGAGGAGGGGAGGGACGAGGCCGCCCTTTGTCCTTGCGCTGGCATTCCGGGGGCATCCTGCAAACACCACTCCCCAGCCCTGACCGCGGCCACAAGCTGGGGCTTGAATACCCCTGGGGGTGGGGTCGGGGAGATGGAGCCCTTGGCTGCTCCCCAATATGTCAGGGCAAATCAGGGGCAAAGCCAGGCCCCGCACCCAGCCTGCTTCCCTGATTGGAGGCATGTAGCGCCGGGTGCTGGCATCTCCTTGGGTTCTGGTTCCGGTTCTGCTAGTAACTTGCTGTGTGGTCTTGAAGTCCCCTCTCTTCTCTGGGTCTCAGAGATGGGGACACCATCATCAATATCTCAGAGGAGCTGTTCAAAGTGTGTGAAATAATCAATGTGTGTAAAAGCAGTTGGTACACTGTAAAGTGCCTTGCACATGTCAAGGACCATCACAGTTGCCACTCTATTGCCATCTTGTCCTCTTCATCACCCCAGCCCCAATGGCAGCCTCGATGACATCCAGCTACACAGTGAACCTGGGTCTTAGAACTCTCCATGTGCAGAGGTTTCAAGTC